GGTCAGATTTTGTCATGATTTGATAGAGTTGGTCAGATGCTCCAAGAGATTTATACAACCAGCATTATTCGCGAAAAGATAAACCTCAATTAATATTCCACGTCACCAAATCCAGATTTGCATATATAATTCAACAACGGCTCATTTCCATGATGTCATGTTCTCTTGGCATAGTTCCTCGTAGTATCATGGCACGGAGGTAATGGATGGAAGTGGGAATTCCTCGATGTAGACGGTCTAAAATGGCACACGAAATTTGATTGTAGTTAGATGGATGTTGAGTAATATCATCTTATTATGTGAGCTTTATTGTGGGTAGACCTGTCAAAATGAGTCGTAAATAGATTAGTTATATTAAGTAAATGGATCATAAATAGTAGAAACATAATGCGGGTGTTAAATGGGTCGTAAATGGGTTATAAGTGGATGTACACCTTATTTGAACTTAACCCATCTCTCTTGCCCTCACTCAATCTCGCGCTCGCTCACTCCGCACTCTCATCTCAGTTCGGGCATGAGTTTTCTTAAATTGAATTAAATATAAAAGTGTTTTAGTAATACGAAACAGGTCGGGTATGGGTCGGGTCATGTATGAATCATTAGATTTGCATTACATGCAAAATGTGTCAAAACGGGTTAAATGAGTCTATTTAAGTTGGACCATTTTTTACCCGATCCGATTTACCCATTTGACAGGCCTAATTGTAAGGTTCACATCTTCAATAGTTGAGATGAGTTTTTGATCTCACTGATTTATAAACCATAAAATATTCTTTTCTAGATGGATATTTGCTAAGTCTAGGATCTAACGATCACGTGTCGATCTGTTGTTGACTACCAGCTAATATTTAGGTAGCCTATTTGTTTAAGATTAAGCAGTAGGCAAAAGACAAATTTTTCTTTCTGCTAATCCTTAATATATTATTCAAATGAAATAAATTACGAAAAAATTATATATAAATTTACTTGTCGACATTGATGTTGTTAAAGTTAAGGGTAAAAGCCAATAAAAATTTGAAATTATGCTCACTGTGACATATTTACCCTAAAATTTCTTATGTGACACCAAATATCCCAAACTTGTACCTGTATCACTTATTTACCTTCGATCAAGGTTCCGTCAACAAACATCGTTAAAAATCTATCTATTTGAACACCAGAAAGCAAATCATGTTGACATAGTGCCTTGGTAACTTAAGTAAAATAGAAACGACATTGTTTTTACTAAAACATCATCTGACGAAACCTTAACGAAGGGTAAATGTGTCATATAAGTACAAGTTTGAGGTTTTTATATCACAAAAAAAAATTAAAGATAAATACATCACAGTGGGCATAGTTTAGAGTTTTTAATGTCGCAAAAAAAAAGTTTAGGATAAATGTGTCACAGTGGACATAATTTGTGGTTTTTCATGGTTTTCTCCGTAAAATTAATTTCAAGTGTTTTGAGTAAAACAAAAAGTACAAGTATTAGGGTAAAAGTTCAACCCATCACTTCTAAGTTAATCAATGGCCTTGGAGCAAATTTTGTTTTTTTTTCATTTTCTTTTTCAATGTTTTTCTATTTGTGTTCTTTGTTTTCGCCCAAGTAAACAATAGCTTTGATAAAATGTAATTATAATCAAATGACTTTATTATATTTATATTAAATTTTGTATATGAAAATAAAGGGAAAATGACACTATAAACGCCATAACTTTCATACGACGCACAATTCATGGTCAAAACTTTTCGACCAATCACTTAAGTGTCACTTTGGTAGAAAAAAAACTATCACTTCAATGCCATTGGCGATTTTTGTGATCGGCAAATCCAACATTGCAATATTTTAATATAAAACCGTCCGACGTGGCTCGCCGGTCAAGTGAAGTCAACAAAATTAGTGCTAAATAACGTTCTTTGGCCATCTATTTGCCCTAAATTAATAAATTGGGGCTAAATTCAGCATGAACCGTAACCTTAATTTCTCAAATTGGGGAAATTTCCTTCTGAATTTTTTGGGCAATAGACAGATGATGAGGTGGAAAATAATCGTTTTGCTCTTGATTTCTTCGTTTCCTTCGACTTTTCGCTCGTTCTTTTTAGATAACAAATTTCCATGTTGTTGCAATCGGGCTTCTTCAGAGTCGAATCGTTATCCTGGATTGTCTCCTACCCTCACAAAAAGAGGACCGCACACCAGTGAAATCACGATGACCACAAAGATCATCCGCTAGACCCGCCGGAGTTCCATTGTTCTCGATTGCATATCCACGAAGCATATATTACAACTTTAGTTAGAGAGAGAGAGAGAGAGAGAGAGAGAGTTTAATTATATTTTCTCAAGTTTTCAACTTTGTTTTGGCTTTGTTGGTCACATTGGAACATAGACATTGGTTAAGAAAATTACTGAAAAATAAAAAGAAGAAAAATGCGTATGAAAGTTAAACTTGTCGGATGAAGTTGAAGATAAACATGAAGAAGAAGGAGTAGGGCAGTTTTTAACGTGGATTTGACTAAGGATTTATCCACGCTGGACTTAAAATGTTTTAAAAATATGCCACGTCAAACTTAAAAGTTAAATAAAAGCAATCACCTAGGATGAATCGCGGGAATATGTCACTGGAGGCAGGAAGTGATCAATTCTGCTTCGACGTGGCAATCAAGTGATCATTCAAAAAGTTTTGATATTGAAATAAGTATCGTTCAAAAATTATGGCACTTGTGATGATATTTTCTTAAAAATAATTGCATCCTAAAAAATATAATGAAAGTTCTTTCTGCTTTTCACTTTGATGTCATGATTAAGGATTGCGATTTATTGAGATATAAAAATAATGAGCACAATATTAAAAGGACCGGTGACCTTATCACTCGGAACAACCCTCTTTTCAACTTTTAAAAGTCCAAAGAATTCACTTCCAAACATTCTTTAGTTACAATGAATCATCTTCCCCAAAGAAAAGAAATGACATTACCTAATAAAGAAGCAACACTTCCATCATTCGATTAACTAAAAAGAAAGTCAGAGACACAATATTTTTCTTTGCCGCCGCCGCCTTGAAGCTCCGTCGACAGTGGCGGCAATCCCCTCGGATGTAATGAACAGAACCACGATGGTCACATCAGAGCAGATGTGGACGCCGATATGGCCCGGATCTGTTCAGATCTACCCGTTATCAATATTCGCCCTTTGGTTTCAACCAGTGTCAACACAGATCGACGGCAAGAGTAAACACACACAAAGCGTCGGAGAGGAAGGGTGTGAGCCGAGGGGAGAGAGAGAGACGACGACGATGATGAGGGTTACGGCAACAGTACCGTTGCCAGCGGCGGCGCACGAAGGAAATGTTGGCAGAACGGCGGCTGGGAGATGACAGCGACGGGGAAGGGGTCATGCCTTTTTAACTCGAACCTCTGAATTCTTTAGCTAGATCATTAGTCTGTGTTAATGTTTTGGTCCCTTTATTATAATTATTTTTGGAGAAATTCTGTTTTCATTAATAGTATAGAGAGCCTCTGCCTTTAGGGGTTACCTAAATTGATCAAAATATTTTTAATTTTAGATGAATTTATAATCTAGGCCCAATTCTATCTCCACACACTCGGAATAGTTATAAACCTATTGTACGTTAGCAAATTCATTCCTCAACTTCTCAATTTGATCAATTTAGTTTTAAACTTTTGAAGATTTATCAATGTAGTCATTCCGGCCAAATTTGGCTGAAAAAAACTGACGTGGGCACTAACCATCTATGAGGCATAGTCAGCACTAATGTAGACGACTTTCGCAAAAAAAAAATTAATTTTATTTATTTATTTCCTTATCTCTTTTTTTCCTTTACTTTTCTTTTTCTTCTATTTCCCTTTGCCAGTCTGAGGCCCTAGTGGTGATCACGGGCTACAGGCAAAGACCAGGACACCCTTGCCTTACCTAGAGATGCCGAGGGCATCTAGGCCCTCGCTATTGTGTCCCACATCGCCAACCATCACCGAGACCTTGAACCAACGAAAAGAATTAGAAAAAAAAAAGAAAAAATAAAGTAAAAAAATTGCGAAAATCATCCAAGTTAGTGATTTACAGGCAAATTTATCCGGAAGAACTACATTGGCAAATTGTCAAAATGCATAAAATTGAATTGACCAAATTAAAAAAATTAGGACTAAATTGGCCGCCGTACAATAGAATTAGAATCTTTTGGATAACTTTTTCCCCCACTCTATTCCTCACCATTCCCTCTGACTCCGCCAGCCCTACTAACGCCGGCCTCGCCCTCGGACCACACACCTCTATTGCATCTTGCTACCCCGCCCAACCCATGATCGAACTTGCGCCTCCATTTATCGTTGCTTCTTGCTTCGTTGCCCACCAATTGTTGCTTCATCTCTTTCTAAGATAAACGTGTAGGGCTCGCTTTGAAGAGACCCCAAAAGTCATGACCAGCCATGTCCAGCCTCAACCGTCCCTAGGAGGGATCGCCCAAGGCTGGGGACCTCAGGATCTAAGGTTTCAACCTCAAATTTGAGAGTGGACAAAAGTAAATTCAAGCCATTTAAAATCTTTTCATATTGATATGTCAATCTCTCAAACGATAATTTGCTTTCAAACTTTGAATTTTGCCAACTCTTGATATGTCAATCTCTCGAATGATCATTTTCTTTCAAACTTTGAACTTTGCCAATTCTCATCAAATTGGTTTTTGGTCAAGCCAAATCTCATGTGGATTGCACAAGCTAATTTTTTGTCTTCATGCGGCAATATTGCATCATCATCATCCGTGTTTGAACAGGAATTCCAGCCAATACGATCATCTCTTTTACTAATTTATATTTGCTTCCGAGCAATGATATTTTGATGAGTGAAATGACAATCCATGACATCACTTGTTATATCAATTTAATAGATTAATCTTAATAAAATGCACAGAACACGAATTTAAAACGGTATGATTTGATTTTGTGACACGACGTTTCCACAAGATTGTCATCCGTGTCTCCATAAATGGTGCATCCCAATGGCGAAAGTCTCTCATCAATTGTGTGTTCCTATCAAATACGTGTGAAACATTCAAAACAATAAAATAGATAAGGACCAAAAAAAAAAGTTGAACTTTTCACATCCAACTTCCTATCTTAATACAGAAAAACTTCCCCCGGATTTCCCGCGACCTGAAAAGCAGCAATTTCCTCTTATTCCCTCTTTGCTTCCCTTGTCAATATCAACAACAGCAACAACAAAATAAATCAAGAAAAAGCACTATACATAACTTATTGTTGGTGTTACGCAACAACAATGATAACTCTTTGAGCTGACAAATCAACCACCACCTCCATCTCTGTTTCTTACAAGCTTCCCTTTGCTTGAGTCCGCTGTGAGCTGAATGAACGAAGACCCGCCACCTTGTACCACCAAATTGGGAATCAACTGAGGTGGGCTTTCTCTGTTCTGGCTCACTTGGTCGTAATTGGACAGGTAATTAGGATTGCTGTAGTTGTAATAATCGACCCCGTTTGTGCCATGCAACACCTGATGACCCTTCATGTATCCCCTGTCCAGCGGTGGATCTCGAACGCTTGACCCGCATTGCCTGGGCTGCGTTTGGTAGAAAACCTTGGACATCACCAGCTCACCGTCTTTCTCCTCCTCGTTGTCGCCGAGGTGGTACTGATGCATCACCCAGTTCGTCTTCTCGGGCTTCCGTTGCCTTCCGTAGTTCGTGTAGAGCACCAAGATCTTCTTGAACCCTCTCACTGCCCCACTTATGAGGACGGGGCGGGTCTTCCCAGTCTTGTGCCATCTCGTCTCGCCACCGTCCGCATCGCCGTGCACCTTCCTCCGTTTCCTGGTCCCAGTCGTGTATGCCTTGGAAGGTCGGTGAAAGAAGTGGCGGATTTGGCCGTCTTTGCTCACTCCTGCATTAGATTTGAGGCGATAATATCAGCGGAACAACATTACTAGGAGTTTGATCCCCACATATGTGGACTTCTAAATAATGTAAAATCAACATTTCGACACTTTCTGACATGCAAATTGTCTATTGTTAGTTGTTCGCTTTTCTAGGGCTGAAGAAATAGACATAGTAGATGATAATGCAATAAAAGAGGCATTGTGGTTACTGTTGCGTCATAGTGAAAGTTCAAAGCACAAACTACACTAATCAGATGAAATAAGAAGATTAATGGCTAAACTATGGATTTGCGACGAAAGGAAAGCCCTGATCCCTTGATAAATCTATCGAAGCACTATAAAATCAGCCCGATAACACTTTTTCACACTCATCTTGTAGCGCAGCCGACAATCGATCTCGGCCTATAGTAGCTAACCAGGGCGCAGTGGAAAGTGTTGGCTTGAGTTTTCACAGATTAAAGCATAATTTTCGAAGGAGCACTTTTTTTGGCCAAAATATTATCAAGTAGTTACTTCCAAAAAAACAAAAAGTGAAGCGGGTGCATACACCTGGCATTCATATGAACCGTTGAATCTAATGGCTGCCAGATATAAAGTAGGTAAACCCCACTAGATTGAATATATATATATGTACACATTGATATATTTGGATGCATGCAACTGAGGCATGCAATGATTTCTAATTGCCTAGACTAACCCTTGAAAGTGGTGAGTCCTTCTTCTTCATGTTTTAGGGAAGTTATCTATAACATGATCCAGGAAGAATAATATATGGATGGTAGGTAACAAAAGCTTTTCGAAGCCGTAGCTTTTAGAAACCGTAGCTAGTCGATAACTTATCAGCATCTCATTTCACATTCCTCTACCACCCTAGTTTTTCATTCAATGTTTCCAACCGGCAAATTCATGAATTTAGGAGATAAATTACTTGTCGAACACTTCTATCACATTGCGACTTCATTGATGTTGCTAAGTTTACTCACTTTCTGCAACTTATTTGGACTCACTACCTGCTTTTCACATATAGTTTATATGATAGCATCGACCTCCGTCGGTCCATTCGCATGATGAACTTTAGTATATATATCCCCGTATTAAAGTATGCGTACCTGGTAGCTTCTCGGGGTGAGTATAGCAGATCCCATTCTCCCCCTCTAATGTTGGTATGAATTCATCAATTAGCGGATGTACTTTATGCGCATCTGCTGCCGCTTTTGCCTCCAAATGTTCGAGAATTTCTTGGTCGTTCGGATCGAACTTCACCCCAGATGGTAAGCCGGGCAAATCATGAATCAGTCCCTAATCAAATTTTAAAAAAAGTATGAATTCAAGTAGACTCTTCAGTGAAGAGGATCTTCCCACATTAAGGACTTTAATTCTAAGGATTTTTGCATTTAATGGACTTTCAATGCGATATTAAATGAGATTAGGCGCATTATTTCAGCGTGGTCCTCTTATGCTTCTGTTGAAAGCATTATCACGTGTTACTGTATTTTCTTTTGCCTGGTATTTTTTAAAAGAAGCTCACTACAAGCAGTAACAATCCATTAGCAGGAAAAAACATTTGTACGAGTATTATTGCCCTACAACCAATGATCATTTCATGTTAAATATGATAATCCAACGTTGTCGGTGAAATACTATTTCCTTGATGTATCCATCCAAAGCGAAATGCTATTCCATAAGCCATGTTCATCTAATTGATCTATTCAGGAAGATAAGAAGCTAAAGGTCTTCTTAATTCAAGTAGAAATAGTCCATCAAACAGTGCAACTGATGATAAAATGGAACATGCCAAATCTAGAAACAATCTATGTCAAATGCAAAAAGAAAAAGAAAAGATCAGAAGATTGAAATCGAGACCGAAACAAGGATGCAAATTCGTACCTGATCTTGCAATTCAATATTGTGGCCGCATGAAGGGCACGTTACTGTCCTGATGGAACCGCCTTCGCCGTCGATCAAGCAGTTGCCTCTAGAAACATCGCCGGCGACAATCTGAACCGCTTTCCCCTCCTGATCGGAGTTGTTACACCATGTCATGATCTCTTTCTTCTCACTTCAGTTCTCTCATCCAAGGCAACAATACTCAACTGGTCCCGCTGTCCCCAGCTCTTATGAAACATGCACCGAGTTCAGCACGAGAGAGAAAAGATATCGGCGGACAGAGAACGATATGTAAGGCACGTTTCAGATAATTACTACTACTCTCTTCAGCTATATCGTATTTGTCTTTGCGATTCGGTCGTAATCTGCTTTTCTATCTTGTACAATTCAGCATCCTTATTTCCAGAGAGAGCTATAAAAGAAGAAGAAGAAGAAGAAGAAGAAGAAGAAGAAGAAGAGAGAAGAAGAAGACGTGAGAGAGAGAGAGAGAGAGAGAGAGAGAGAGAGAGAATGTGTTGCAATCTAGAAATGGAACAGGTTGCTTGGACGTCAAGTCTAGTTTTGATTAGGTATATACGATGGAATAGATGCCACGTTAACTAGGGTTAAATGGAATGGATTCGGTGATATAATGCATGAATTTAGAAGTTAAACATAGGAAGAAGAAGAAGAAGAGGGTTTGACGACAAAATGGAAAAGGAGTCAAATTGATTTCTATTGCGAAAGGAGGCGTAGAGTGGAAATGGGGCAATCCCTTGGTTCTTTTCTGGGACATTTCACCTCTTGAGAGAGAGAGAGAGAGAGAGAGATTGGGGTTGTAGCTGCAGTGTCGATCTAGAGTAAGGCTAAAGACATGTATGGTAATGTAACATACAACCCAACATGAATAGAAATAATTTATTTCCTTAGCAAATATACGAAATATAAATTGGTTAGAGTATCTCTCAGAGTTGAAAAAGTATTATAAGTATCAAGGGTGGTGTGCTAAAAGCAATTCCGATTATTCAATCACATACTGCTTTTAGTTATTATTTTTCGGAGTTTATAAAAAAAACGACGACACTTGAATAGATGGATGATCTATATCGGTGTTGATCTGAATTTGGAGGTGCATGCATGAGGATTAATGTCTCTAGCTCAATAATAATTTAAATTTTTTCTTTTAAAATGGGAATTAGATCTAATTAGAAATGTCTTTGATCTTTCGGCATTTTTTAAAGCAATTTTGAGACCCAAGTTTCATATAAACATTACAAACACAAGAAATTTCGCCCAAAAATTTTCTAGGTTTATGGCCTTGGGATTTGACTTCAGACTCCTTCTCCTCTTAATTGATGAGGACTCCCCAACACGCGTTTGCATTGCAAGCACACAAGAAAATATTATGTAAACTTAATCTATTAGTGATGTGGCGCATAAAACCAATCAGATCGCATAAATTATACAAAATTGATATTTTTTTAATGGGATCGATCCACAGTATTTTAAAATGCGATTAACTTAATTTAATAAACTTGGTCTATGCCGTAGTCATCCTAAACACGCGCACTCTCAAATATCTGGTCAAAGTATTTTCTTTTTCTCTCTCTCTCTCTCTCTCTCTCTCTCTGCCCTCCCATTTCTAACATAGACTTCTCAAGCCAAGCAAAGAATCTCTCTTCTCGCTCTCTCCGTGCATGTGTGTGTTAGGGTTTTGAGAGGATGCAGCTCTCGAAGGAGCTTCTTCCGGTCAAGATGGCGTCGAAGAACATATTTACAAAAACCGGTGGCGACTCCAAGTTTGAGGGCACCATTTTTCCGCCTAAAACGCTACGCTGTGGAGGTCTCGCGATTTTCCTCTTTCAAGCGGTTTTAGCTGCACCAGTAACACCTTTCATGTCTGGAGGTTCCGAGGATGTTTTATGAGCAGAAATGATCATGTCGAGGAGAAGAACTCATACTCGTTTTTCCCATTATTCTGGCCACGGTACGAATTATAAATAAAAGAGAGACTACCAAACTTTTCTTCGTCCCTGAATTAATAAGTCGAATTGGGTCGACACCAATTCCAGAAAACAATCTACTTCTATAATCGATCGAGAACAATAAGGATGTTCGAAGAAAGAATTAGTTAGAAGCATTCCTAGTTAAGGAAAACCAGAATAAAGTGTCCATCAGGAGTGAATTGCGATACGGGCGTTTAGCTTACCCCACACGAAATGCAGATCTTATCAATCTAAGGTTGCTTTCGCCTTCCACTAATTCCTTCCCAAACATAATTGCGAGCACGTCACTATCCAATCGAATGAAAGTTTAGAAATTTAAACAAAAATACTGTGAAAAGAAGCCTTACCGATGAACAGCACAGCTGAAACAGCTCGATACTTCTTTGTGTGCAGCTGACAGCTCGTGGGAACAGTGTTGAGGTTCTGAGAAAGTAGATGCTTGTACACAAGAATGGATTATATATAGAGAGGGAGAGAAAGAAGATATTCATCAGCCGACATATGGGGTCTTTAGCTTCTGGAGGAAGCTACGGAGCAGAAGCTTAAGCAAGACGCTATTGGAAATATTAATAATCAGGATTGACGTGCGGGTAAGGGTTTTTTCTCTTGGAGGGACCTTGATGTTGTTGTTTTCCTTATGTGTATGATGGCTTGTGCTTGTACGGGAAGGAGAATTCTAAAAGCATTAATAGGAAAATTTCGAAGGGGGAAGGAGTTTTTTTTTTTAATCGGCCGGAGCAATCGTCATGACGTGCGCACCGTGCTTGAGAGGCGATGACGTGCGGCGAAGTTAACCGCATAAGTTGTTACTAATTAGACTTGTCCTGGAAGAGAGCTACGAGCTCGATAAGGCAGGCTTGGGACAGAGCAAGGGGGTATGGTAAGATTGCCGAATGAATCGTGTCTTTCTCCATCCCTAATTGGAAGAAACTTTCCTCCTTCAAATATTTTGTTGATAAGCTTTTCACACTAAATGACTTTTGCCCACATTAAAATCCCAACCTAATGTATTCGACTGCCACCAGCCTTGCCGATCGTCAATCGTCATCGCACACCACCACTAAGCCCATTTCGAATTTCCGTCGTTGATGAAATCGATGAAGAGGTAGGGAATCGATCCATGGGAACTTTGCTTTTCTAGATAGGTGCAGGAGATCCCGATGCGGCATCATTAACGTGAATTCAGGTCCAAATTCATTAATATATCCAATTAGAAAATAATAATTGCTCCTCACCATATCAATACGTCCGGGTGAAACTATTGCTTATGCTATGCTACCATGGCGGAATAAACTTCATGTTTCTTCTTCGACGATAACTCAATCAAGCATCATTTTCCACACTCAATTCAAGACTAGTTCGAGTAACCAGCTGGTCAGCATCGGTAACCAAACCAAGTACGAATTAAACCGCCTCCAACAACATTAACCAAGTCAAATGCAAGTAACTCTCATTAAATTCAAGGACCTCCTAAGTAGGTGTTCTTAAATTTTCATATGTACACACCAGCATAAGCCTTTAGTGAATGTGGAGACGTGCAAAATTGAAAGCTTTTTTTAGGGTTGTGCACCGGGTCCACTTCAAACCAAACACTGGAGAACCAAACTAGTCGGTCCGGTTCTAAGCCCTAAAAAGTATTAACAAGATGCGGGTCTAGATGGTAAAGGAGTTTGCTCTTCTACTTATAGTTCGATTCAAGTCTTGTCGGGAGCACTCCAAGAGTAAAATCCTGAATGCACTAACCCGATATGGGGGAATACGCTTTTAAGATCGCTCAAGAAGATGGACCAGCCGAGCTGCACGAGAACTGGCCACAGCACCACCCGACCATTGAACCGGAAAGAAAACTTAACTAGATAACATTTTGCAGTAATTCTCTCTATAGAATAGGCCTTGTATTCTAAGCATTGCTGTTGAGACTCAGATGAATACAGGCCCAAGGGCCGATGTTTAGATGCCTCTCGGCCCACATGAGCTTCTTGATTAGCTCCATCTGCAAGAAATTGAACTCTGCTATACGCCACTTTTAAAGAGTTCTCTGCTGTATAGGCCTAGTTCAGGTTCATTTTCAAGGCCTAGTTGAACAAAACTGGGGTTGTTCACAGGTTCGTGTCCCGGAGAAAAGGCCCAGCCCGAACAAATTGGCCTGTAGCGATCCAAGGCAATCTAGAGATGGCAGCGGGACAGGCTTGGGACGGCTGATCTTGCCACAACCCGTCCCGGTGCCGCTAATGTTTGAATAATTTCCCAAATCCGTCTCGGACCCTATATAGGGTTTTGTAATGCGGATCCCAAACCCGTCTCACTTAAGTTATCAATAGACCTGTAAAAAGGTAGGTCAGGTTAGGTCATAAATGGTACGACCCAAATTGACCCATTTATGATCTATTTATTCGTAATGCAAATTTATCGACTCATATCCGACATAATCATGTTGCTAAAACGCTTATATATTTAATCAATCTAGGAAAACTTATTTCTTATGATATTTTTTAAAAATACATATTGCTAAAACACTTCTATACAATACAAATCAAATGGAAATTTTTTCTAATTTTTAAAAATTTTGAAATTTTTTATTTTATTTTATTTTTGCTTTTTCTTTCTTTCTTTTCCCTCTTTTTCCTTTGACATGCGAGGAGGGTCGCCAACATACCCTCGCCGGTCACAAGCGTCGCTGGCCACTAGGCAAGGTTGCGAGGCCCTCGCCGGCAGCGGATGAGGGCCTAGTCCTTGCCGGCTGCGGGTGAGGGCCCGGTCCTCGCCTAGTGTCGACAAGGATTGGCTCGCTGGACTTCGTAGAAAAAAAAAAGGAAAAAAAAAAAAGAAAGAAAATAAAAAATATAATATATTATAAAAATTATGAAAATTAGCCTGACATCTTCAACTCTACCTAATATGGATTAGAAATGGGTTTGTTCCGTATTTTTCTTGTGGATTAGAAGTGGGTTAGTTATTAACCCATTTAAAACCCAGTAAGTTGATAGGCAACTTAATTATAACCCACTTAAGCCTATTTTTAAATTTTAAGACAACTAACTTACGAACTGCATCATCAAATTTGGGTTAAAATATGGGTTCGAAACCTATTTTGCCACCTCCAGTTATCAAGTATCCATTAAGAATATCAAGTGCCCGTTAGAAATTACTATGGTCATTATTTTCTTCAATATAATTTTCTTATCAATAGATTGTCTAACACATAATCATTGATTTTGATAGGCCATGTGTTCAGTTTCCAGGTTGTACCATCAATTGAAAAGCACAAAAATAGCCAATAGTCACCTTGTTGACCACCGAAACATAGTATATGATATCAAATGAAGCATTCAAGAAACTATCTGGGTAAGAGGTTTACTCAGTGATAAGGAAATCAAAGCGCATGACATTTGGCCAAAAATTAGATGCATCAAAAGTGGACGAAACATATTAATATCAAGTGCCACTTTATATATGATAATGTGTCATAGGGAACCGCATCCGTTGACAAGGATACATGACAGATAATTAGATAAACATATCAACGAAGCCTGTCCCATTGACCAAGTTCCTATACCATTCGGACTTAGTCAGCGTCTGCAACGAATGAGGAGCCAAAGGGGCTCCAGAGATACGATTATCGATGAGAATGAAGTTAAACTTCTCGCAAAGATGGAGATTGAGTGATCATGCTCTAAGTTTTCCCGTTTGATTTGGACTCGGCGCATATGTGTGTTTTCGGGACACTCAGAGTGAATCGGCTCGAAGTCGGAGACAGAGAGACGAACAAACGGAGGTCGGGTGAAGATGGCCCTACTATTAATGTGCTTGATCTCGAGCCCTGACAGCACACCCTAGTTTCAAACGTATTCCTCCAGACACATGCAGCATTTGCTGGAATTGGCAAAGTCGGCTATGTCTAGATGTGGGGAGAGGAGAAAAAATGGAGAGAAAATTGCCATCAACTTTGAATTTCCCTTCATTCCCCTCTCACAAACACTTCAAATTTTTCTTAACTTTCCTCCAAACTTTCATTCCGGTCGCTCTCTCTCTCTCATTTTCCAAACATATCCAGCAAAATAGAGTATTTGATACTTGGATATACCTTTTGGTTGTGCTACAAGGGTTGTTGGATCTCTCTCTCCCTTGAGGGAGGCTGGATTTTACTAAATGTGTGTGTCCTTGTGATGAATCGAAGGCGAACCGTCATCTCTTGAGCTTGACAAGAGTCCTGTCACTCCGGCCGATGGCTGCTCAACGTTGTCGTAAATATCTATTTTGTTTTGCAATATTTTTATGTAATCACGTGGCAGTCGCGCCACAATCATGTAGGAGCTCGTGTGACATTTGATGACCACTTCGGCAATTCGATTGGCTTTGTTAGGACAATAACACCTTGTAAAAACAAACATATAATTTAAAGGCTAAATTGCACGTACAAAAGCTCTAGGGAAGATATTAAATAAATTAAAAAAAAGTTTATGGACCTGCAGTATTTGTATCCCTTTCTTTTTCTTCATCAAAATCACTAGAGTGAGTGTGAACCAGCACTAAGCCTTGACATAATTAAATTATTTTTAGCATGGGTATAAGAATTATAAAACAAGTTTATGAACATAGACAGCCAATATTCGATGCGTCCAGATGGATCGCATTTAGGTGTTTGTATGGAGAAAAAACTAAATATGTCCGAAGGAAGCTGGCGAAATTTCGGCTCCAATTGTTTCACGGAAAATGAATGTTGAAAAATATTTTTTTTAAAATAATTACTTATACTATTTGAAATAATTAGTCAATATCTAAACATTTTCGTTAAACATTTTGATGGACGATGAAAATATCTTTCATTTATTCATTTTTGCAAGCAATACAAAAGATCATTTTTAAAAAAATAGATTTTTCAAATTACTCGTTTTTCACGAAATAAAGGTGCTGTTCGTGTATCAAAGTCTTTATCTTCTGCTATCAAGGAAGGACAAAAAAGCACTTACTTTTACCAAACTGCAGAACTCCTTTCTAGAAGAAAATCAGAATTTTCACCCAAATCTAAAGCGTAGTCAAACCGATACACCTCTCAAACAAGTAATGACGAACCGAAAGAGGAGGTTGCGACTTGGGAGGGGCTGCCTAACGATTAGTGTTGGATGCGATTATCTATATATATAACCATATAAGCTTATATTTTAATATATGAAGTTTCATGTAAAAAAAATTTTATGTGACCGTCCATACATTTATGATAACTCCAATAACTGCCCCGAATTGATAGACTCGGCAATTAAATCAAACAGTTTTGATGATCAAAACTAGGTTTGACTTTAAAAATAAATAAATAAAAATCCCTTGATTAAGTGATAGTAGGGTATGAAAAAGAAAAGTAGTAATAGGGTCGGGTTACTTAATTCGTTCGATAGCAGAGGGATTGAAAAAGGGAAAATGACAAAAATAGTTTTTGAATTTTGGCCCAATATACAATATGGCCTCGAACTTTGGCGAAATATGCAATGTCGTCCCGGAATTTTTAATTTATTCAGTATGGCCCATAAACGTTTGATAAATGTCCAAACTAGTCCATAGATAATGTGAAAATATCCAATGTTATCCTTTCATTAATTTAAGTTCTGGGATAGCATTGAATATTTTCATATGGTCTAGGAACTAGTTTGAACATTTACCAAAAGTTCAAAAATCACATTGAACAAATTAAAAGTTCAATGACGACATTGTACATGGGACAAGAGTTCGAAGACCGCATTAAACAAATTAAAAGTTTATGGGTCATATTGCATATTTAACCTAAGTTTCGAGACCATTTGTGTCATTATCCCAAAAAGAAATTAAAGTCTTGCATATTGCGTTGCTAAAAAGCCTTAAACCTCCCAATAATATTCATAATATTTATAATTGTAAGAAGCCAATACTGTTTCGACACTAAATATATAATTATTACAAAACGAATATTTGCTTTTCATTTGCAGCACTTAGAATAGTCAAAATACTATTCTTCGATACATCCAACGTTGCAATCAAGAATTTGGATGCACACATAAAGGAATGCGTGTATCAATCGATTTGGTCGTTTTCCCGAGGCTGGCTATTTTACAATGTTCTCCATAGCTAGTCGATATAGAAATCCAGCAGCACACGTTCAAAAACATCGCGCACACCGCAAAAGCAAGTAAGAATTGCGATTGATCCACCAAGAAAATTCTATGGATGCGTCCCTTTCACTCCCTCAAAAGGATGCCTCCATTCCACACGAAAGCAAATTGTTCAACCCACCCAACGCACCGTCCTTTGGACCTTTTTCCACTTCACGATTCATACCAAACTATTAAAAAAGTAATTTCCGGGGAGGAAAAAAATACCTTTCGCGGGATCGACGTCTTCTGAATGAGCTCGATTCATGTAGATCCGATGCATTTCGATCATCAAATCGAGTTAGTGATCTCATTCGAAATTGATAAAGATATCGTGAGCTCACATGAGCCAACCTTGTTCTTTTCAAATTTTTTGCTCTCGTACACCCGAACGCAGTTTAATATGGATGGATTTTTCCAGGGACTATTGAAAGTCAAAACAGACTCCGTAACGAAGAGGTGAAATCATCATAATTTCCAGTTTCTTGCCGGCCCGTCCTACTTGGAATGCGGCAACTTCTCATTGTTCGCCAGAAGAAGCAATTTCCATCACCAGAAAAGGTTCGACGCAAACTATCGATCGTCACGAGGATCGAACACATGTGCCCGATCGAAACCCGATCGAAAACCCCGTGACCGCTGGATCATGTGGAGCCTTTTGCATCGGCAGCTTCTCTTTGTTCATGCTTGGAGCAAAACCGCCTTCCATAATTTGCGAGCGATTTCGCAATTCAAGACTCGTGTGATCGTCCTGTGGTACGAAATCTCTCTCTTCGTTGATCGCAGAGACGCGTAGGGACAATCAAGAACAAATCTCCATCTCCAAACTGTTCAAAATCGCTGCGACCTGCGCGATGGAAGGCCTGTTCTTTCTTGAATTGCCCACACAAGCCAGTGCAACTCTTGCCAGCCTCACCAGAGGCTTCATGTCACTTGGAATCATAAGCCTAGGATCAAAGAGCTCACTAAACCTCATGTCCTTAATCAAAGGCATTGCCCACTTCACAAGCAAGCCTTCTTCGCACCTCCTCCCGCTCAGAATCTCCAACAAAACCACCCCAAATCCATAGACATCAGTCTCTTTGCAAGCCAAGAATGAACCGCCTCTCTCACTCCAATACTCTTCATCCACAAACCCGACAAGGCCTTTCCTCTCCCGCGGCGCCAAGAATGCCAAGCCATAATCGGAGACCCTAGCGCAGAAATTGGCGTCGATCAAGATGTTGGAGGCCTTGACGCAACCGTGTACTATGTTAGGCACCATGCCCTCGTGCAAGTACTGGAGTCCCCGAGCAGCCCCGGCCGCGATTCGCACCCGCCGGGTCCAATCCAGAAGAGATGCCCCATCCGGGTTATGATGTAAATAGAATTCCAAGCACCCTAAGCTAACAAACTCAGTTACCAAGATTCTCTCTCCCGGCGCTTGTGAAAACCCGATGATTGGGACTATGTTCGGGTGTAAAGCCAAAGAGATTGTCTTGATCACGGACGAGAACCCGAAGCCTGCATGGCTCAAGACGAGGCCCGGATGAATCCTCTTCACGGCGACGAGTTCGCCTCCGGCTAGCGCGGCAGCATAAACCGTCCCAACCCGTCCCAAGCCAATCATTCTTGTGGGGTTGAAACCATCTGTAGCAGAATCAATATCGGTTAAAGGGTATGCCCGCGCGCAAACCTTTAGCGGAAGTGCTTCTTCGGATTCAACCGGCTTCTTCTTGCACGATATAGCCAGGAGGATCCCAAGAATGATCACGGAAGAAGATAACAGAGCCATCACCAGATCATAACCGATTTCCTTGCCGTCGCTCTCTGTCATCTTTGTGATTATCTCTAGATTTTGATTTCTATGGGGAAGCCTTATAAGTGAATTATGAAGAATAAGAGCAGATGTGAGGTTCGTTGGAATAGATGAAAGATTGTTCATATGGAGCTATATATGTGGATTGAAAGTAGGTGAAGACGTCCAAGAGAGAACATAGAAAAGATTATACAAAGGAAAGGTCTCTATCTCAAGCAACTATGGACGCTTTGAAAATTGGGGTAGATGGGTTAGAAAGCTGGTCCTCTCTTGTTGTTTATGTTGGTCCATGGTTGGCCACCTCCTTTGCACAACAAAAGGGGGAAAATTGGATTCTATAAAAACCAACGAAAGAGATTTATTTAAATCTTTCAATAGGTTACCAAAATGAGGGCTGTTTAAATACATGATTGGCCCTCCTAAATAGTTGCATAAGATGTTGGCAGATGTATCATAAGATTTTATCTTGATTGAAAAGAAATTTGTCTCTTTCACTTGGGTTGGTGTTTGAGGAAGCCACACATGATTGGTCCTCCTGAAATTCTGAGACAGCAAATGTAGCTTTCCTAGGGTTTTGATCAGATCAAGTACCTCATCTTTAAATTAATATATAAGTGACTGGTAGGTTTCATCTTTTCTTTCGGGGCTATCCAGCAATATTATTGATGTATTATCAAGAATATTTTTAACAAAAGCTGAAGAAATAGAAGCTAGGACAAGCTAAACGAAAAGTTAGCTTAGTTGTAACAACTGAACCAAGATTAACGCACAAGAATAAATCAAAGTTCGCTAGAAGTTTGGTGAACTTGGATGTCGAACTTGGTTGTTTTTTTAACTAGACTGGAAGCTCCTTGGTTGCTTTTTGATTGTGAAAGTCCTCTTTGAATCTTTTCTACAATCATAGAATGATTCGGAAAAGTTCGAAAGAACATAAGAGAGCTCGGACTATTTAGTAATTGGCAAAATGATACAAATGATTTCTGAACTTTAACTCAATATGTAATGTGATCTCTGAATTTTCAATTTGTTTAATGTGGTCCTTAAACTTTAGCCTAATATGTAATGTGGTCCCTAAACTTTTAATTTTTTCAATAAAATCCTTGAACTTTTGATATATATTCAAACTAGTTTCTGAATTATATGAAAATGTTCATGTTGTCCTTCCATTAATTTAATTTTATAGTCCTTGGACTAGTTTGAAGATATACCAAAAATTCAGGGACCACATTGAACAAATTAAAAATTAAGAGAACATATTGCACGTTGGGCTAAGATTCATGGACCACATTGAAAAAATTAAAATTTCTTGGGCCACATTGTATATAGAGTTAAAGTTCATCAACCATTTCTGTCATTATCCCATAATATAAGATAATATGGTGTCAAACCACGTATAGTGGCAACAATGAAGAATTGAACCAAAACAAGAACTTATGTAGGATCAAATTTATACTTCAAATTCAAGGGAAGCTAATTTTTTTTGGGAAAATGCCACCAAAAACCCCAAACCATGTCACTTGTGATAAATTTATCCTGAACATTTTTTTGTGACACGAAAAACCCCAAACTATGCCACTTGTGACAAATTTACCCTGAACTTTTTTTTTTTTTTTTATAACCGAGGTGTCCGCGCGGCCGGCGAGCTAGGGCTCAAACTAGCGGTGATGCCCGATTAGTCCTCGAGGGGGGCTAGCGCAGCATCCCACCGCCACGACCCCCCACTTAAATCACCGATGGGCGAGTTTTGAACCCAGGACCTCTCGTGGAAGGAACCGAGCGCAAACCAACGCGGCCACCGATGGGTGGGTCCCTGAACTTTTTTTTGTGACACTAAAAACCACAAACTATGTCACTTGTAATACATTTAACCCACAATACTTTGGCACATTAGCATTTTCGTCTTTTTCCTTTTTCTATTTTTTTTTCCTATTTTTTCTTTTCTTCTCCGGCGAAGGCAGCCCTCGCCGGCGTCAGCCGAGGGCTGCCCTCGCCTAAGTCGGGCGAAGTCGCCTTCGTCAAATCCGGCGTCGGGCGACTTCGCCCGACTCATACGAGGGCGACCCTCGACGGCGTCGTGCGACTTCGCCCAACTCTGGCGAGGTCGACCCTCGCTCGCCCAGGCGAGGGCGACCCTCGCTCGACGCCGGCAAGGGTCGCCCTCGCTAGCGTCGGAGAGGGCAGCCCTCGCCTGAGTCGGGCGATGTCACGCTCGCCAGATCCGACGTCAGGCGAGGCTACCCTCGCCCGCCCAGGCAAGGGCGACCCTCGCCCAACGCCAGCAAGGGTCGCCCTCACCGGAGAAGAAAAGAAAAAAAAAATAGAAAAAGGAAAAAGACGAAAATGCCCATGGACCAAAGGATTGTGGGGTAAATATGTCACAAGTGGTATAGTTTGGGGTTTTTCGTGTCACAAAAAAAAGTTCGAAGTAAAATTATCACAAGTGGCATAGTTTGGGATTTTTTGTGGTATTTTCCCTTCTTTTTTTTTAAGCATGGAGATGAGAACGTTGACTGGATAACCTAAGTCAATGTTACACGTGTTAATTATTCTGTAACCTAGTCGAACATTGACCTTTCTATCAGTTGTAGCAAAGAATCTGGTCATGAGCCAATTGCCGTATTTACGAAATTCAACTTATTAGTTTGTCAAAGAAGTACAGCCTCCACTTAATTCTTCTTTCTCTCCTGTTCTCAATCAAAGAAACAAATTTTAAAATTGAATATGAAAGTGAAGAAAAACCATGAAAATTAGCAAAATATCAAGTGATATTTTTCAAAAATTATTTTAAAGAGTCACATGAAGACTAGGGTCAGTAACTCACTTTGAATGGAGTTCATAAAAAGAATGCTTGTATTGACTATGTGAACAATGCAAAAGAATGTGACTGGCCTTTAGGAATCAAAGAAAATTATTTATCTTTCTTTTTCAAAGTAAGGAAATTTACTTGGCTGACGTTTCATGGCGGCCATTTGGAACTCGTTGTGAAGACATTTCTTATTGAATAATGGTTTTATATCGACGCATAGATTCGCATATATTTTTTCATGATTATTTGAAATTTGGACGATATTTTGAATTCTAATGCGAAAGTAACATGCATAACTTTTGACTTTTTGGAATTACCTTTTCTTTTCTTTCTTTCTCTCTCTTAAAAAGGATTCTTCTTTATAGGACCTATGTGGCATTGATAGATCAATGTCAACTAGAGCTTAGCTAGTTAGGGGATTGTAGAATCTAAAGGAGCTATAACTTCTAGGAAAATTCTATTGAAATTGGCTTGGAATGGTGTAATACTACGTGTGAGTGCTTGATACCCTTTCTTAATGAAAGACAATCACTTCTATCTAATGAGAGTTGCTAGGTGATGGATTTTTGCTGATTTTGTCCTGGAATTTGTTCTTGTCATGATACAGCTCAGTTTCGACTTTTGACTTTTGAGTTTGATTGTAAAGTTGATTTCGTTGGTCGTTCATGAAAGTTGTTGATCTTTGTACTTGGAAATTGGAGTTTTGAGAGCTCTTTTAATATAGTTACCTCAAGTAAGGGCTTATGAATGGGAAATTAGGGTATGTTTGATGACCCCATTAAGTGTTGAAAGCTAAAAGTTTAGCTAATAATAAGATTAAACATGTTTGATAATCTTAAATTGAATCGACAAATTATTCAATTGAGTCGAAAATCCACTTAATTTGGTAAGTAAGGGAGGGATTACTTGATTCATTCAATAGAAAAAAAATGATGTAATTGGAATCTTGCTGAATATATTGACAAAACCTATCAGTGCTGGTCTTTTTTCAATGTTTGGTCAGTAATTAATGATATCCAGCTGTACAATTTTAATTATCATAAACAACTTTTCCGTTCTATTTCCAGCACTTAAAGATTCGACGCGAAAAAAGAAAGACTATCAACACATTAATATCTCTGCTTAAATTTTCGGCACTTAATTTTCAGTTTTACGAAACAAACCCTAGTCCACCCACACTAAAGATTTGATTAAACACCAAAAATTAAAAGTAACAGCAAATTATTTTCGTGATGGGGTTAAACATCAATCTAAACTCCTAATGGTCTTGAATGAAACCAAAACCATCTCTTGCATCATTCTAAATTAAAAACCCAATTGGGTCGTGATGAATGAAAGAGTGTGATCTTGTTCTGGCCCAAAAAAAGAAAAAGTAAGTCTATCTAATTATTGTGGCCCAGCCACTCTAGGCTTAATAGGCTCGGGAAGGCCCATCCAGCTACGCTAAAATTAGATGTATAACTTATGATAGGTTATTAAATAAGAAAAATCCTTTTTAAGCAGTAATTTTATCAGCATGATTGAGAGGTCAGAAAGTCTACCTTGATTTCTCTGTAAAAAATACCAAATTTTCTAGAGTAAGTCAATGGTGGAAAATTTATTTTCATTGGGTTGTATTTAACATGATGGGTCAATTCCCTATGTCGAATATCCTTATCGTAATCTACTAAAGTGTTTGATTCTCTTAGAAATAAAAGTATGCTGGTTGAAATCATTTTTGTATATGTATTTCTTGCTATACTAGCGGGAAGTGTAATATGTAATTAAATTGTTGCAAGATAAAAGGATTTAATATAAATTTGGAATATACATATTCAAAAGACTTATAATCTTAAAGTTACCTCAACTCTTTATCGTCACTATTTAGTTTATAGCGCGTACGGACATCATCGGAACTAAATAATGAGCATTTGAGGCTGAAAATTTTACAACAGTGACAAATTATCAACAAATGTATCTCTCCTCTCGTATCGACCGGTTAAGTTTAAGCATCGAGCTAGACTTTAAAGCACCTGTAGAGATCAAACCGACCGATCGAGCAGCTAAGAAATCAACAAATTAATGGCCACTGTGAGATTAAATTCTACCCTTAGACCTTACTTTCTCGCTATTTTCGAGAGATTTTCATGTGCTCTCGCACTATGAAATTTCTATCCATCCAAATCCATTATCCTTATGCTAAGTGAAAAATTAGCTTTGGTGGACGCAGAAGGGCCTACAAAGTACAAAACTTGAGGCCCACTAAGGACCATGCATCAAAGCTCAGCCATGACTCGTGAGCCTATTGAAATCTCTGATGGACCTTCTTCCTAATAACTCTTTCTTCTCCTAGAACAGAGAAAAATGCACGGAGAGATGTCCCTCACCCCAATCTGATTGTAGGCACATTTGATTGCGTGTCAACTCATGATCC